GAAACAGAAATTCTCCTGGATTTTATTGTAATTGAAGAAATTAATGATAATGTTGGTTTTTGGATTTTAATAATGCAAAAAGTGAATGAGAATATAATAAATCCAGAATAACTTCTATTAAATATTGCTTGATTTTGGAGATCATTTTAGAAATAAAGGTCCTTTCTTGCACTCAGGAATAAATTTGTACAAATAGCCACATGTCAGGATCTAAAAGTGCCCATTAAAATCTTTATGAGCAGTGTCAGTGTTTGTTCTCTTTGAGAAAATTGATGTACTGAACCACACTGACATACTCAAACACCCATGAGATGGCATACAGTTCTCTCAGTTCTTTCCAATCGAATGCATTTTATTGCATCTTTGTTACCTAAAAATTTGTGCATACATAAAGAACAATGGACATCATCATAATTGTTTTAAAGTTTGGAGCCAAAAGCTAGTCTTTGTCCCCCGTTCATGGAATGGCTTCTTTCTTTATTTGGTTTTGCTAATTTCCATGTGTTTTCATTTGGCATTTTAAAAGTCAACATGGTGGCCTCATTTAGGCAAAAAATTCCTTAGAGATCTGACAAACTCTAGCTTCGGAGGAGAAAAAATGAACCACCTTTCCTTTGAAAATCAGTATTTCACAAATGATCACAGATTAGTGTGGTCACTTTCAAAGCAGATGACACTGGGTCCTTTTAATGGCCATCAGTAAATTTTAAATATTGTATGGGAGTGTACTTCTAAAACCACAATTGTTGAAAGAGACATGTTGTCAAGACCGATTCTGTTTAACAAGTTTGATTTCCCTCCACTTCAGGTATCCTCTGTCTCTAAAGAGATAAATACAATGAAATTATCATCATTCAGGAGCTTTCTGCCAAATATAATCTGGGTAAAACACATTTGTACAGTGCAGCCAAGTATAAGACTTAGTGCACTCAGGATGGGATTCCTTTTGGTCAGTAAATTGATAGGCACAGCCAGAGGGATTATGTGGCTAGTCAAGGGAATGAAATGCTAGGCAGAGGGTGTAACTTGATCCTCCCCCAGTGCAAAGCAAGAGACAGCATGTACCTGGCACCATGCTGGAGCCAAGGGAGGTGCCTAAAAATGGAAGCACAGCTACTTTTTATAGTCCTGCTCCGGACAAAAGTTTATGCTACACAGTTATGTTAAACAATTCCTTCATACTCTCAGTTAATGCTACTGCCAGGGATTGCCTAAATCGTTATGTATTTTGCTGCCTGTATCTTTATTGGAACACACATTATTTTTCTGAATTATGATGATTCAAGAATGTGTTCTTGCCTCCATAAAACATTATAAAATCTGTTGTAAACTTACTGTACAAAGGAGACAGCTTCTTGCATTAGCCCCCAGGATAATAGTACATGTTATTCACAGTTTTAGTAATTATTTGTTGAACATGCATCCTATACTCTTTTCTAGGAATCCAAGACTGGCCAGATTCATTTGTGTGGTAGCCACACAGACGAGACAGACCCGTGGACGCCCCAGTGGGATGAGTTCCATGATTTGAGGTCATTATTTGTTGTCAGAGCCTCAAGGAATCAGGCTGACCTCAGATTTAAGGGTTTGGGAAGGTTTCTTAGAACACGGTCCTATCAAGGTTGAGGCGCAAAGTAGTAATTAACCAAATGAAGAGAGACAAGAGTGATGGGTGAAAAAAGAAAGGAAAGCCACGCAGAGCATCACAGAGAGGGAAAGCAGCATATCTGAATTCATATGAGCAAGACGAGGAGTCCTGTTCAGGGAAGTTCAGTAAGGCGATGAAGGGTGGCCTGTAGGGGCAAAGACGTGCATGTGAGGCTGAGAGTAAGCGAGGTCTAGGGCAGTGACGCCAAACCTTTTAGAGACCGAGCGCCCAAACTGCAAAGCAAAACTCACTTATCACAAAGTGCCAACACTGCAATTAAATTGAACACGGAGGTTTTAGCTCAGAAAAAACTGTTATCCGATGCTCAGCTGCTGGGGTGACTTGGCTTGTGTGCCCACAGTGCCACGTGCACCTGCTGCAGGGTGTAGGCCATAGGTTCTCCACCACTGACCTAGGACGTGAACACAAGCACCGCAATGTGCTGAACTCGAACTTTATCATCTGGAGAGCAATGGGAGCCCAAAGGTAGGCTCTAGCAACAATCACTGTTTTTCAGAAGGATTTTTTTCTGACTTTGTGGGAAAATTATCAGAAGAAACAAATTGCCAGGTATTGAGTGCAACATTTTTTTTTCTTTTGTCAATAATTCTAAACAGTGTGAACAGTACTGAACATGATAGATGCTCAATGAACATATGATAAAATATTATTGCAAACAATTTCCTCTTTTATTAGTTAGTCCAGTGTGAGTATAGCAAAACAATGACTCCCTTAGCAAATTTCTGTGTATCTCTTTGGTTTTTGCTTTTTTTTTTATTTTTGAGACAGGGCCTCGCTATGCAGTTCAGGCTGGCCTTGAGCTCACTCTGTAGCCCAGGCTGGTTTTGAACTTACAACAGTCCTCCTGCCTCAGCCTCCTGAGTGCTAGGATTACAGGCGTGCACCACCACGCTTGGTGGCTCTTTGGCTTTTGCTTAGTACTAGAATGCCGTCCTTAGGAAATAGGGCATATGATAACATCTATCACCAAGTGTTCAACAGGAGTAGGGAAGGAAGACTTTCCAAGAATAACTTTTTTCTTAATGATGAATTTTATCATCAAACGAACTTAACACCAGTCACCACATAATGGCAAGAACTTTGGACGTGGCTTTCTCAGTGTTGTATAGGAGAAAGATTTTTTTATCATTAAGCAATTGTTCCTTTCTACTATATGTTGTCACATATAGAAACCAGCCCTCATCCATACCTCTTAAAATGCTGTTATTGATGTAATGCCCAATTGCAAAACTATTTATCTACATTTTTACTACTATGAATGCTCCTATCATGTAAAAAATCAAGAGAAGCACCAAGTCTTGACTTTGAATCATAGTTTGCTTCAGAGAAAACTGAAAGCTGCTTAACCTCAATTGCTTTTACAAAACAAGCAGATGATTAATAATGTGTGAGTGTGGGGACCAATTTACCTGTTTGTACTGTATTATGTACAGAAAACTTTTGTCAGTTATTACTCAAACATTTGCATGTCAAAGCACTTCAATTTTTAAGATAGGAAAAATTCACGATAACATGTAATTTGCTCTCTCTAAATGTATACTTTGAGTCAGATTGTTATATTCTGTCAAATAAGTTCCTAAGAAACAGTTAAAGTCCACATGGAATCATTCTCCAAAAAGCTGCAAAGACAGGCTCATTCAGCTCAAAGTACTGTGACACAGTTGGCAACACAGAGGGCTTAATAACCTAAACCCCACCTTGTCCACACCCACCTTACTGACTTTTGGAGGGCTGGACCTACGACTCTGACTCCTAACTTGACCCAGGACTTTCCTCAGCCTCTTAATCTGGCCCAGCAACTACATTTTATGTCAGGGTTTTCCAAACTGGAGTTGTTAGTAGATTGCAAAAACAAAATCACTGGCAAAGATATTATAAGATATGCAAATCAGTAAATATAACATCACATCAAAAGAGTGAAGGACAAAAATTTCACAAACATTTCATAAGATTCAGAAGAAGCATTTGCTACTAGTCAACATCGTTTTACAATAAAAAGTTTCGACTAATTAGGTATAGAGGAAATATACCTCAACACCATAAAGGTCACGTATCACAAACATGCAACATTATACTGAATGGAGGGAAAGCTGAGGCTATTTCCTGAAAGATTAGGAGCAAGGCAAAGGTGTCCATTTCTACCACCCTCAGTCAGTAGACTATCAGAAGTCTTAGCTTGAAATACAAGGAAAGAGCCTCTTTCCTTATGATTGGCATCCACACAAGAAAGAAGGAAGTCTAGTTATCCCCTTTTGGAGGTAACATGACTTTCTATGTAGAAAAAACTAAATATTTCACCCAAAATAAGGAGGTAAAATAACTGGAAAAAAAGTTCAGTAAAGCTACGGGATGCAAAAACATCATATTCATTTTATACATTAATAAAAAATTTACTGAGAAAAAAATCAAGAAAGTAATCACATTCCCCAAGAAACGATGAATGGGTTGATAGGCCCCTGTGAGGTATTCTTGAGTTTATTACCATTTGTTTTCCACTGTCAGCTTCTAGCTGATATCTCACAAATGCACCTAAATTTTATATAGAAGTTGGTGCTCTCTAGTAGGTACATAGACTCAAACTAACTTTGGGCAGGAAGAGATTTGAGGTGAATTGTTAATCATTACCTATCTTGATATAATTATTAACCCCTGATTGTTAGATTAACTGCTAACTCCTATGATATATTAACCAAAGTTGTCATTTAAGCCACTTTTCATCCAGAAGGGTCTAAATTAGAGATGTCTTTTCTTTCCCAAGAATTTATTTATTGTTTGTTTGTTTACTATCTTTTTAATTAAACCTAGGCTGACATTGTTCACAAGAGGGTCAGAAAATGTTTGTTTCATAGTTCTCTAAACTGTAGAGCAAAGTGTAGACTTAATAAAATCACAGAGGAGCCTGGAGGAAAGATACACACAGGTTGTTCCTCAGCAGTATTATCATGAAGTGAGTTGTTCATCAGCAGTATTATCATGAAGTGAGTAGGGAGCAAAGGACTGAAAAGAGTTTATGATTCCTAAGAGATCACAGTAGTGATAAGATTTCTCCTCAATGAATAAGCCTGTAGGGCCTGTGCACTCAACAGCCCATGACCCAACCATGGCCATGACAGTCAGGTTTGAAAAATTTCCTAGGCAAAGCACCCTACAGACAACAGAGCCCAGGCCTTTCCTTAGAGGTTTCTTCCCGAGAATGGGTTGTGCTGTTTCTCTTCTAAACATTTATTCTTAAGGTGCTTATCCTCCTGAAATAATTTTGCAGAGATAATTAATATTGGCAACTTTCCTTATTCACAGCAAATATTTATTGAGCTAATGTATAAGGGGATATATTTATCATGCCATATTAAATTCAACATACAGTTACAATGCCATGTATCATAATCTAAGCATAATTGAAGAAAAGTTAAAAAAGTAATACTGATCCTCACTACATGCAATTCACTCTTATATATTCTATTATACTGTATTTTTAAAATGCTACTTTCAACCCATTAAATTGATACCATTATATTTTTTTGATAAATAAGTTGAGTAACTATTTAATTTTTCAACTGAACAATACTGCTTTAAGAATATCAAAGCGCTCTATGCCTACACAAATATGCCGAAATGAAACTCACTATTCTGTGAACTAATACAAAAGAAACCTGTGCTTTCACTCTAGGACATATATATCATCTTTCCCATTAACAATACTTCTTAACAGTTTTTAAAAGTGTAGCCCTTGTTAAGGATTTGGGGTTTTACACTACAAATCACAAAAAGTTATCAAGAAGTTTGAAGCAAAGAAATAGAGTGGTCTTTTGACGTCTGAGAAGATCGCTCTGCCTCCATTGTAGAAGGTGGCTCAGAGGAGTTGCGGACACCGCACTTATAACCAGAATCTTGGTTTCTCCCTGATCAGCAACCCAGGATCTATAGCTTCTCCTCACAGCCTGGCCTGCACAGTTAGGAATCAGTGTGGGGGGGAGAGCTTTGAGATGGTGTGACTCCACTTCAGTGAAGGTCTGACCTGGGAAACGTGAAGAGGAAAGCAAGGAGGTTGTGTAGTTAGTCCTAGTTTGTGGAGCCAGAGCTTACAAACTTCATAATAAAGAGTCCACTTACATGTTAGTTATGCCTGCCTTGCTATCCAGAATTGTATGTTTTAGTCATTCATTCAACTTGTATATAACAATTTTGATATAAAATAATAATTATGATAGTAAATGTCAGGGATTAGAGATATGTGGTTAATTTCTTATCCAGAAATAGATACGAATATTTTTCCCTAAAAGAAAGCACATCATGTGTTTTCTGAATCCTTCCCTTTTGCGTTCCTCATATTAAAGTCCCTAAAAATACAACTTGGTTTAGTTGTGCTGAGAGGAATTTATAGTGTCAGAAAAATCAAAAGAATGCTTTCGCCTACCGCCAGCCCCAGGAGCAACTTGAGAAAACAAATATACAGTCATCTTGTTCAAAATGCACTTCTCAACGGACACTCAGCTTGCAGTGATAAATCATCCATGATTCTAGTTTTTGTTTTAAGGCATTAGTATTCATCTGATTCCAAGTTATAGTCTTTTTATGTATCTTTTCAAAAACATGTTAGGCTAACTATTAAGGAAATAGTTTCTTTTATTATGAAGAAGGCAGAGATAAACGTCACTCTCCATTACTTATAAACACCATACCCAATCGTATATTTAAGCGATCACCAAGTAAAGCTGGCAACACTGAAATGAGTTGTACAAAATATGAAGGGATGTAAGATAAAGGTCTGAGCAGTGACATAGAACAGGAGCGGGGTTATTAAAAGCACACTTTCTCCCGAACCCCAGCACATACAATAACTCCCTCTGTGAGAAGCAGGATTCAGTAGAACATCAAAGAGCTAATGCTCAGGATGGTATTAAGAAATCTAGCTGTTAAGGAGCCAAAAATGTAGATCAGAATCTTCTTTCAGATTAACTCGCGATATGAAGCACAGAAAAATGGGCAAAATATATTTCTAATGAAGTGAGAAGGAAAAAAAATGAAAAGGAAAAGAAACCAGTAATCTGTAGTTCAAAGTGGACTCCTGGAACACAGAGCACTATTATGTCTATTTGACACCTGTAATCTATTTTTTCTATTACCAAGAGCACATTGCTGATTATTTCCCCTACATTTCTCAAATTATAAATTTTAAATGCTAAGTAAGAAACAAGTTATTCCACAAAATTGTTCAATAATCCTGGTACATTCACTGGTTCAGTGTTACGCCATTAAGTTTCTCCTTGGCCCAAAAAACTGGTACCCATTTTTATAGGTAGTGTGTAATACTGATGACTTTTTCTTTACTACTCTTTTATCTTGCAAAATGAAACAGAAAAACTAGACAATTTTTAGGTTACTTCTCAGCTTTAAGCCCTTCTCCAATAAAAACTTTAGGAACAATAAGCCTACTTGTTTAGGATACAAGTGTTTAAGATAAAGGAAGTCTTTCTTTTTCTATCAGTAGAAGAGAATACATGTGAGCTTTTAAATTTCTGGTAAATACTACCACTTACATGAATCCCATATGTCTCGGAATACCATCTTGATGCCTAATATAATATGTTTAATAAAAGCCATAAATGGCCACGTGATTTCATAGAACATCCTTCACAAAAATCATGTCTTTAATCTGAATAGTTTTCTCTGGATTTAATCTATAATTATTTTGACCTTTAATTTTTTGCACAGTGAGTCAGCATTTCTCAAAGCTGATAAACACTGTAAAATACTTTCCGCCCTTCCTGTTATGTAACCCTTATCTTATAAAAATATGATCTACAGCTTTACCTTTTCCCATGACATTCTCCTAACCTTGTGCCTCTTACAGCTCAGAACCCCTTTATTTACAGGCTTTGTGAACAGGGCACACACCTTGTGTATACACCGGGTGTATACAAAAGTGCATTTTTGTGGTAGGTGTTGCTATTTGCACCAAAACTTTAATTCAGCTTGACTTACAAACACCAAAACCTAGTAAACACAAGGGAATAACATGTGACCCCATTGTCCTGTATGTGCATCTTGCCTCCTGGGATCCTGAACTCTTGTTTCTTATTCTCAGTGATGAAAACCACCACCAACTTAAGGAACTGAGAGGATTAAAGGCACCATTGTTCTGAGAAAGAAACCACATGGTAGAATGTTTCTGAGTGTGCCTGATAGTAATAGTTTGAGTCTTGTGAAAATAATTGTCTTCTGTTCTCTAATAACTATCTTGTGGATATTAATAAGAGAGAAACATCATGAAGGAGATTAGAATGTCATTTCAGAGATATTATTTCAAGAACACATAATACCGTAATACCTTAGTTTATCTAAAATGTGTGAGTCTTAGAGCAACTGTTCTCTTACAAGTAGGTGGAAGTATAGAGTCCTGGATGGAGGCCAGGAGATCTAAGTCCTAGAAGGAAATTCTTGTAATGTATTGCGTTATTCAAGTCTCTAATCTCTTGGATTGTTATGTAACGTTTTGCTCCACTATTTGAAAATGCTTCTAAATCACAGAATGTCTTCAGTATTGTGAATAAATTACTTTGCCAACATGTGTCTGCTCCCCTTTTGAGTCACGTTGTTAGATGAATTCCTTTAGCATAAATGATTTTTTTTTGAGGAACTAGATTCATTTGATTGGAAATGAACACTTTCCATGCTTCCTGAAGTATTTTCCAGAACCTTTAACACAAAAGCCTGCTATCTTCCTTCACAAACACACCTTTAGTTAATCAACATGTATTCATACAGGCATTCTAGGAGCAGAACGCTGTGTAGGGCCAACAGTAATTAAAAGTGATTCTTATCCTCAAATGTTCACAAAGTCCAAGACAGGAAACAGACACGTAGTCATAATTAGCAAATAGTATGATCAAGATGATGGGCGAGACTTCCAGGCCAAATGTGAAGGTGGCATAAATAAGGGTGGAGAGAGAGACAGAATCCTGATGGCTGAATTTGGTCTTTCAGGGTGGAATGAAAACAAAAGGCTAAGCAGAGTTCAAAGTGGACAATAGTCCTGAAAAACAGATCAGACTATTTATTGTCCGGTATAACTCGTTCAAATCTTCATGCAGACACCAGGGTCTCAATAAGCAGGGGGAAGCGTGAACACGTGTGCACTCCAGGCAGACCTGAGGACACATGTAACCCCACAATAATCGAGTAAACTTACATTAAAACTAAGCCAAAGGCAAAGTGAAATCACAATTTGGGGATTAAATATCACAGTATAACTACAAAATATAGCCTTACTTTCCCCCAATATTTCTATTCTTGGTCTTATATTATAAGATATGTCTTAAAGAAGAAAACTGTATACAGAGAAAAAGTTCCTGATAGCATTTTGTACAATAGCAAGTATAATGAGGAAAGTTTATCTCTCCAACAATACCCAAGTGGGTAAAAACAAAGTGCAAAAATATGTATAGGCATAAATACAAACATAGTATGGAAGTAGAGAAAGTATTTGTGATAAGTTTTGCTATAAAGAAGTAGTATGCTAACATATATGTGTGTTATATGGTTTCAACATCTATATCTGGACAAAGTTGAATCAAACAAGTAAACAGAAGAAAAAGTAGTCCATGAACTAAAAGATAATTTATGGAATGAAAAGAAACAGAGGAACACTTTAGTAAATTGTGTTTGGGTTACCAAATGACAAAGTCAGTTCCAGGTGAATAAAAATCTTAAATGTAAAAGATGAAACCGTTAGACTTTCAGAAGTGTAAAATTTTTATGGCCTCAAAACCAGGACTATTTCCACTAAGTTATATTTTAAAAGCAATACTCTTGAGTATTAATCTAGAGTATTTTATTTACTTTGTATTGAGTATTAATCTAGAGTATTTCATTTACATTGCTTTTAAAACTATATTTTAAAAGCAATACTCAAGTATTAATCTAGAGTATTTCATTTACTATGAAAAGAAAGTAATATAAATTATATCATAAAAATAAGAAATTCGTGTTGGTCAAAAGATAATCAAAAAAGAGTAAAAATTCATAAATGGGAGAAATACATAAACTGACCAAGGTTTTATATGTAAACTATGCAAAGAATTGAAAAGTGGAAAAATTCATGGTATAAAATTTACAGATGAAGAAATACAAATAAGAATTAAATACATGTAAAGACTCTAAAACTTATGAATAACAAAGCCACTTTAAGTTAAAGTGCTTCTGAGGTATGTTTTGTGCCAGGACTGCTATGTAGAGCTACCAGCTTGTATTTCATTTAGCTACAGGGAGCATCGTTCCTTTGCATGTGATCTACATGGAACCTCCTGGAAGCTGAGCAATGCACTCGTTTTCCTTCATACCCACTCTACTAGAAGAATTCAAAAGTCTGCAATAGCAAGTTTCTACAAGGACATAAAACAATGGAAATCTCAGTCTCTGCTTCCAGAAGTGTAAAGTGAACCAGCTCCTTTGGAGTACAGTTTGTTGCTATCTGCTATGTCTATTGGAGTATATAAAGAGGAACTGGAAAAAGAGTTGTCTAGTAACAAGCACAGAATCAAGCAGTGGTCCAGCAATATTCACAGTAAAAATGCACAACAGTGTCATTCAGCAGAGCTTTTCCAGATGATCTCGGAACCTGACAACAAAAATGAAACAGCAGTTCAATAAGAAAATAATAATGATAATAATAAAAGACTGTCACAGTGGATGAAGTCAAAGCTCAGGAGGGCTATAGAAAGTTGAAAGTGCAGGAAGAAACAATGTGGAACTATTATTGTCCATGGTCTCATACTAACACAGAAACTAGGACATGAATCAGCAAACTACAGCCTGTGAATCAAATTCAGCTCGCTATCTGTTGTAAATAAAGTTTATCAGAACACAGCTACTCCTATTCATTTACATATGATATACAGTTGCTTTTCCATAATGATAGCAACAGAGGCCATATGAACCAAAAAGCCTAGAACATTTTCTATCTCATTCCTACAGAACAAGTTTGTCAGTGTCCAGGGTAAGAAATCTGGGAAAGCG